GCCTTGTGAGGTGCAAGAGAGTGATTCTGCAGCTTACGAATAAACAATTTCACTTTGAGAAGTTCTCTTATTTTTTTTCCTACTCTTTCTCACCTCAGATGCTAGTTCACAAACAGTATCATTATTCCCTGCTGTTTTAATGAAGTAACTGCAGAAATTACGCTGAAGAGGACAGCAACCAAACCACAGTCAAACATGAGAAAGGATTCTCTGCATACAGTTCCTATCAGGTTCCAATTAAGGCTGCCACTACCACAGATATGAAGAAAAACACTTCTACACTACATTTTATCACCTAGTTTTTAACTGAAGAGCAAGCCTACCTCTTTCAGCTGCAGTATGGTGCTCTCAATGTCACCTGTGCTGGGTGGAGAGAGCGCTGTTCCCAGCAAGGCTTTTGGGCTCCCCATGTCAAGCTGCTTTATTTTTAAGACTGTGGTACCCAACGGAGAACGCTGAGGGGAAGACAACGTTATCGTTATTTTCTTGCCATGGGAAGTCTTAAAAAGTGTTTTCAATGAAAAGTAAGTTACAGTTTACAATTCAGTAAAACCTGAAATGAATTTTGTGCAGCCAAGGATATTTTTCTTCTGAACAGACTGCTTATCTCTAAGCCACATCCATTTTACTGCTATGAAGCAAACTATGCCTAACGGTCTCTGTCAATTACTGATCACCTTGAACTCTATTCAGTGTTCAGGTCATTAGTTACTATCGCAGTCATGCACAGTATTCAGGAAAAGTAAGGCAAAGCTTCTTTTTATTGTCTCTGCTATGACCGTATACATTAAAAAAATACTTAGTGTTCCCCAAAGTCTTACCAGTATCTCAGGTACCGACTTCTCTGGAATAAAGTGTGTCCAGAAGTCCCTGTGGACAAGCCTGTAGCAATACCCTTTGGAAACACGTCCAGCACGGCCTTCACAGAAAAGAACACATTTACTCACCAATGAGTAAATGTTAATATTGTCCAATAAAGTACAAAACACTTCTCTGGAAAAATACTTGAGCAAAACAAAACAAAATGTTCAGGCATAGTTGTTCAATCACATTTTAATATCCTGATATGGTGAGGAGTCACATTTTTGTATAAACTATTCAAGGCAAAAATTATCTGTGCTTTTTACTGATAATAAAACGGAAAGCAACACAGAATTCTCCACGCAGGCTAGCTTCTAAAACTCCTGTTGATTCCCTGCTATCATCTTACCTTTTCTTTGATTGCAGTTCATTTTAGATGCCCAGCAAAGTCTCAAACTTTGGTAATTTGTTTCCTCATCACAAACCAAAGTCTTAGTTAAGCAGAAATCTATCACTGCAATTAAAAAATACCTAGTTTTACTATGAAACAGTTTATCCTCTTGGCAGTGGAAAAAACACCGGTAGATTTTGTGTTATCAGAAAAGGGAAGTTCCAGTTATTTGGGGAACAGCAGATTTACAAACAACCAGACCCAGGGTACTCTGAATACGAACAGAGCTGCACACAGATTTTAACATAAATAAGCCAAACAGTTAGTGGAGATGACAAGCATTAAAAGGCAATTATTTCTGCATTTAGACATTCTACACCAGAATTTGTTTAATCTGATGCAATTATTTCAAAATACAGTCAGGATCTGACTAAAAAGCATAAGGCACTTGTGACACGAGGTCTGATTCTGTTTGTTCCTGCACTTAAAATTTAACATTATTTTTCCCCCTTCAGTGAAGATTAAAACCAACATCCCACCCAGTAGCTCCACTATTTGTTCATATATTCGGATTTAAAACTGCTCTCTCTTCTGAAAGGAAGAATTCAAATTAAACTCCACCAGCAATGCTTTGTAAAGCAGCGACTCGTTGCGAAGATTTAGGCTAGCACAAAGAAGGGAAATATTACAAACAGCGTACACACAGTCCCAAGATTTAAGTGACTTACCATACTTGACATCAGGCACTGTTACTGAGCTCTCAGCTATGTTTGTAGACAGAATAACCTGAGTTTTGAAGCAAAAAATGAGCAATGAATGTACAAGGAAAAAGAAATACGTTAACGTTTCTACATGAAAAATCCAACTTGCTATGAAGAAATAAATGTAATGGCAGCATAGCATTTCTGCTCTGAATATTAAAAAAAGCAACACAACACAAGACAATTGTATTTTCTTGTCCCAATATCAAAAAAGCATAATAAAGTAGTGTAGCATATGACAACACAGAAGAAGAAATACTTACTTATGCCTTTATAACAAAGCATCACACTACGAGCAGTGATGAAGAGAACCAAGACACCGGGCAAAACGTGGGGTACAGAGCAGGCGAGACACCCCTGTCCTGGGGCCTGCTCTGCCAGCAGTGCCACCAGCAGCGCACAGTACTGCCGTACGGCTGGAGGAACGCACACACACACCGTGCTGAAGGATCAAACCAGTGTCACACAGTAATTTAAGGGTAACTCCTGTTTCTGCACTTCTCTAAACACCAGCTAAAGCAACAGCTTGGTAAGGAAGGCAATCAGCAGGCAGCTTTAAAAACAAGAAGCGCTCTGCTCTCACACAATGGTTTGAGTTGGCACAGCTAAGATTAATTTATACGCGTTATTATTTGCTATTATTACTCCAGCAAGAGGTTTCACACACTTAAAGTAACGATTGAGCAGTATTTACTTTTCTGTAGCCAGGAAATGCAGTCAGAAATACACTACTTTGTTCCTCTAACGTCACACGTGAGTGGAGCGGGTGCACTTGCCACCTAAAGAAAATACATTAGTGAGATCTTTACTGCTGCAAGAACATAAGAACTAACTACATCTCTGCGCTGAATCACATCACGCACTGAGAACCCATACAGCCAAAGGATTTTCGTTCAAGTTTAATTGACCTGAAACAAATGTGGTGTAACTTACCTCACGTTGAACATATCTGAGAGCCGTGAGTGCATGTAGCTTATTTCACTCAGACCTAGGGAAAAAGTAATTAAGAGTCTGTTTATTTTTCAGTGACTAACAAGTCTAAAAACAGTTCTCATGTCTATTTAAATTCTTAATTGACTCTCACTACTACCTCCTTTTTGCCGTATAATGAAACGGCAGAAGAGTTAAGCAGTAAATGCAATAACGAGTCACTGAAACGGAGTCTGTTTTTCAAGAGTAGTTTTGCAGAATTTAGCACTCGCTAAGGCCAAGTGGCAGGATGGAGCATCAGGGCCATCTGCCACGGCCCATTATCAGCCCTTGTTTCAGTTGGGCACAAGTGACAACGCTCACCACATGCTCGGTGTCTGGTTTAGGATAAATCTGGGCATTTCAACCAAAACAACCCGTGTCCAAGAGCAGTACCCATGAAAAAGAGGAAAGATAGTAGCTATTTCTGCCTTAGCCATCTTAGCTCTCGCAGCTCCTGTGCCTCTTCTTTGGGCATGGTTTTCATGTCTGCCACTGAAAATGTCCTGATTAAGGGATTTTTGCTCTCTTCCCAAGTACCTCCACAAGCATAAACCTTCCTGAGAAGCTTGGTTTACTTCTTATTGAGACACTAAACTCCTCATTTCAAAAATCTGTCCTACACTGAGCACTGAGGTTGGATATCAAAAAAGGCGTTTTTCTGTAACTGCAACACACAACTGCTGCAATTTTCAGTGAGGCCAAAAGCAGTTTGAGCACCCAGATGTGAAGGTTCTTGTGCTCTTTAGATGACCATTACCTGACTTCAGAAGTGAGAAAGGAGGAAGACAAATGCAAGTGGAGGAAGAGAGAGATTTTCAAGTGAGAACAATAACTTAAATCAGAAACGAGATGAAAGAAGGGTATGAGATGGGCTAGAAATCACGACTGTGTTAAGGTAAGCAAGGAAAAACAGAATTATTAAGATGTATACCCACCCGGTAAAAACACCAGCACACTGCCACGTTCTGATGCAACACTCTGACTGTTTTTCTCCCTAACAAGAATAAGCAGTTTCATTAGTTTTACAACCTCAGTCTGCTTAATTATCCCACAGTATTTTAATTTTGAAAGAACAAGCAAAATTGTACGGTTTTCATAACATCTGTTCTTTAAACTTCCTGAAGAAATGGAATTCAAAACACTGTGTGCAAGTACGCTTTCTGAAAACCACGGTATGTAAAAACTGGAACTAGATCACCAGGTTTAGTTTTGTCTTCAAAATCATGTCAAATTGAAACACACTTATTTACCAATGAAATTAATCAAAATTAATTACCAGAGATCTTAAAAGGTAACATACGACTGCAGAATTCCATGCAAACTTATTCAGTAATTTCTCAAGCACACGTTACACTGCTGTACTCTAGAAATATCACTTGACACCCTCAACAACAGCCCAGCATGTCAGAAAACCAACCACTGCCCACACATTGCTCGTGACATTAACTGGTGGTGTCTATGTGCACATCAAGACCCCAGGGCATTAAGACCTACGAGCAGCCTTAGTGTGACAAATCCGAGTAGAAATCACACAAACACATTAAATAAAAGCAGAAATGCATAGAATATTGTTACCATGAGTAACTGTAATACATGGGCTGCTGCTATTCCTTAGTGTCTCATTCCTCCAATAAAAATGTTGATTCCAGAGCCTGAACTGCTCCTTACCTACTGCTCTTCATCTCCAGCTCATCAAATGACTGAATCAAAGCCACTGCCACTTCATACATCGTGCTTTCTATCACTGGCTCCTCAATTCTTTGGGAAGGAAGCTGTGAGGAGAAAATATTGATTTTAACACAGCATAACTGGCTCAAAGACTGTAGGTTAAGTATGTGAGTCCACTTGTCTGCTTTTCAGTTCAACCTGATTCAGCACAGAAGTTGCACAAAGAAGTAACTTAACCAGGAACGTTCATTACCTTCCAAATTAGACATTTTCCTTCAAGCACCCTACTCCTCCAACGCTACAGAAATACTTCTGATACTTATCCACCCAAGATAAGCACCAGTCCACGCTCCATCCCCTAACGCTTGCAGGCCATACCCCTTTATCCAGAAGCGTTAAGTGTGTAAGATCAACCACAACCCATGGGAACAGGATGGCGAGGAGGAGCTAAATTTGCATAAGGCAGGCACAATCCTTCTCACAGGCGCTCTAATGCAGGTCTCTACCTGATCAGATAAATAGTATACCTCTTCCACATTGGACCTGTATTTGCATTTAATGGATCTTGTGCTTTGGGTCATACTCTATCAAGGATCTATGGCTCTGCTGTACACAACATAACTGCAGTGAGCCACATCCACTCCATTTTCTAGCATTCCACCCCAAACTCAGGACTTCAGTATTTAAGAACACAAACAGTCAAGTTTTTAGAGCAAAGAGTATCTCAACACATGCCAGTTTCAAAAATAAAACTCTTAATAAACTAGAAACACTCTGGGAATTGTCTATAGTATTACACAT